TGCATGCCTCCTATAGACTGTCAGTTAGCAGAGAATACCAGTAAGTCACCACATCATACAATCATTACAGCATGAACAGTAATGCAGACTGTATGATGATAAATAACATGCAAATGATGGACAGTTTATTCTAAAGTGCCCTAAGGTGTCTTACTGCAACAACGTGTGGTAAAAATGTCCTGAGGGCAGGGAAGGTGTGTCCTGCTGATGGGCAGAGCGGGTCTCACCACCGTCTGCAGTGCTAAGCTGACCAATTACAATGCAAAAGTAAAGCATAGACAAGCAAAGAAAGCAAAGACATTGGCAGCCTTATTGATTGCTGCAGATGTCTGCTGTTCCCATGTACGTAATGCCATCTGCAGAGGCGTGCCTAGAAATTCTGGGCCCTCTGACAAAATACAGATTGTTTTAATTCTGGTGAAAAAAAAATCTAGCTGTAGTGTATGAAGTTGCTTGTGTGGAAAAGTGGCTTGAATCAGTCATTTTTTTGTAGTCATAGATCTCAGCTGTAAGGAAAATACAGGGGAACGAACTTACAGGAGACCCTGGGTGGGCTACCGATCCTGTGCAGAGCAAACACCCACGGTAGAGCAAATAATATTTCACTCATGAAAGTGGCGCCCCACTCTCAGATGTCACCAAATGAAACTAGGAAAATGAAACCGAAAGTACAACGTTCCGGTATTTATACAGCCTCCTCTTTCGCCCCTTCTTCAGTTCAGCTCTAGCCTGCACTGTTGTGCTGTACTTTAACTGCAGAAGGAGATTGCATTGCAGTCTATCCATCCACAAGGCGTCCGAGGGCACACGGCTGGGTTGCATCCCGGACGGGCTGCCTAACGCCGAATAACACAGGATTACGGTAATTAACCGGCTGAACACTAATGAACGCTAAAATTTTGCTTAAACGTAATAAATGATAAATACGTAATAAATGACTTCTATAGATTTAAAAATGATATTATTTGGGACAAAAATTATTTCCGATTTAAACATATTTATTTGTTATTTTGAATTCAAATATTTTCCAACAGAAATGTGCACGAGAACAAAAGGAGCGGTTGCAAAAGAATGTAGACGGTCACTGTGATATTCAACATTAACTGTCCTATTATGTTCATTTTTCAGGAACAGCAATGGTGTTCCTGGGTCAATTTTACCCGGTGCATTTTTAATCATCCAAAAGGTGTCTGAAAATAAAAAAATCTTAACAATAAGTCTAAATATTTAATCACTAACTACTTTACTAATTATTCTACCAATATTTAGCGCACTGGTATTCCTTAGCTCTAACAGGTAATGGTGCGATTAGGATAAGTAACTCGGAACATGGAAGATTGAGGGGCCCTGTTCTTTATTACCAGCAGCTCAGCAGGGAGTTCAGCCCTGTTCTT